ATGGAGATTAACGGTTGTGGCTCACGTGCCGACCGCCTTGAGGCAAAATGCCTGCACAAGCATCAGCCTGCTGGCAACAAACAACGGCAGCGTTGCCTGCGAAATTGACAACCACGTAGCGCCAACAAACTCAAGCCTGCATCCTTCAGTTTGACCCCCCCCCTTGTATACATTTGCGCTGCTGGCACGTGGATCCGAAATTGAGGTACCCCCCCCCCAGTATACATTAGTTAGGTGTGGGGATATAGCATCATAATGAGGATTAGAGTTTCGAGTCTATGTTGGAGTTCCCATGTTTATGAAAACTACCACTCCCTTGCTATGCCCAAAGCTTGTGTACCTCACGTTTTTTCAGCATTATACATATATGTATATATAGGCTTCTTGGTATTTGTGAATTTGCCGCATTTTCAGCGTGGTTTTGCAGAGAATGTTGACTGCAATTCTTGGGTAGATGCTTGTTTGTTCTTACCGCTTCCTCCGCTTTGGAGCGCTGTTTTGGGAGTGGGCTATGATTTGTTTGGAAGTTACGCCCTAAGATCGGAAACTTTCGCACGGCTATCCAAACCAGCATGTGGGCCTTTGACGTCTGGCCGAAACAACATCTTACACAGTGAGATCCTGGCGTGAAAGTTGTGGATGTTGTAGTAGCTGTAATCGCAGATGTGGTCTGTGGCCACCTCATCATCAAGCAAAAGAGTAGGGCAAACCTGCAAAAGGGCACTTGAGTACTGATGTTCTGAATACGGTCCAATACAGCCTGACCTGTGACTATTGATGTAGCTCATATTCCTCACACCAAGTTGGAACGTGCTGTCAACATACTCTCCATCACTGTACTATTATGTACTATGACAAATATCACACTCAAAGTCTCAAATTTTGGGTAGCCAAGGGCTGTACCATCATGTTGTGATCCACATCGAAGAACCTGTGGCCAACTCCGAGCTTTCGGAACCTCACCAGGCACAAACAGTTGCGATTCGAGGTTGGACCAACACCGCATGTGTCCCGATATCCCCCCTGTATAATCCCTATTTAATACGGTAGTTTCCATTTAATTTTCCATTATCACAATATAACGCCAATATACTATAGTGGATGTGTTGTTCCTTACAGTCAGTACTGGTCAAAACATGGCGGGGAGCTTCCCAAGAGCCCCTCTCGCTTTACATGGTTGTGCTCTCAAGCTGCCCCCACGTGACCTTGGGGGTGTCACTTCATATTGCCAGCAGTGATTGATTTGTCCGATAACCTTGGATTGTTAGGGCTGTTGCTTTTCGCCGTGATTTTATTTGCCATGTAATTCAGAGTTGAGCTCGATACTGCTCATTGATCGTGTGGTAGCACGTCGGCCACACGCCGTCCTCACTGCGGTCATGCAACATGTCCTTGAGACCACTGTATGCCTCATACTTCTCAGAATGATTGCAGTGCCCTGGCCTCGTGAGAGGGGCCGTTGAAGTGGAGCAGCCCAGGCGTGGTATTCGTGACCATGTTTCTGGGTGGCCTAGTTTGGCGTTGGGTGCTCTTTCTCGATTCCATGCTTTGGGCTGCAGGCCTGGCTCCAGAACCTTGAAACCTCAGTTCCAAAGCCAGCATGATTGCGAGTTAAGGTTTAGCGTTTTCGGTCAAACGCTTAGGGCAGCAGGGTCAGTCGGGGGATTCTTGCACATTCTCAATCTCTGCTCGAGCTGAGACACCAGTCACGGCCACACGGCTCCCTCTCAAGTTCGCCCGGCGCGTATTGCAGCATGTTCATGAAAACCTGAGCAGAGAGAAGACTTTTGTCAAACCAATGCAGTGGCACTGGATTACATCTGGACCACCACTGTATAAGCTAAAGCGATGACATTCAAACTGCTGTGTCCATAGAAGTAGTACAAATCATCTAAACAGAAGCTGCGCGCAAGCTGTTTTGCCACCGGGTCCTAGCCTCGGCATGCTGGTCAATCTGGATGTTCAGCTCCAGCGCATGCCGCAGGATGACCAGCCACATGGCTCCTGCACGTAGTGTCTGTGGAATCCCAGCATGAATTCCCTTGTCATGCCATTCACATGATTCTAGAAGACCACCGACCGGTTTATGATATTGCTGTTTAGAGGGTCAGCCATATTTACGTTGCGGGTAAATGGCTTTTTTGAGCTGTGTCAGCAATGGCAGTCCTTGATCGTTCACATCCTCCTCCAGAACAATCTTGTTGTTCCTCACACATACAACGGCCTAGCAGTCGAATTGGAGCAGCTTCGACTCTCAGTGTCCTCCTCAGAACTTCGATCACTTTCGAAGCCGGGCCCATGGACAGGCCGATGTTTGGAAACCTTGACTTCTTGCTTTAGTGAGACTTCTAGTGCATTCTCAAGGCACCTGTGGATGGTGAGAGATCTTATGCTCTACGCAATGTACTGTGTGGCACTTAGGTTGCGAATGGAGCGCCGACATCCACATCATGTAAGACACGTGCGCTGTCGGTTTGCCATGCATGCTAGCTGGGACGCAGGCGGATAGGGGCCATCAGCTCGGATCATGCGACAGAAATCGTATGGTGTGAGCCTGCGCGCCCGACAGCAAGATTTCCAGCGAAAATGAACGGCTTTGTTGGGGTTATCTTGGGATAACGGAGAAGAAAATGGAAACTACTATAGTATATTCGGGTAATAGTATAATATAGCAAACAACATGTACACTAAACCGCAGGAACCTCAAGCCGACATGAGCGCATCAAACGGCAGTCGCCATAAACAGGGGTACCCTAATATCAACCCAACATAGTGTAATCCTTATCATGGAGACCTCCATAAATGGACCCTTAATTCTGGAACTCTAATCCCAATAAACCACTATATAATACCAGTTTCCACTTCATTTTCCACGTTCTTTTCCATGTGATTCTCCGTTCTTAGGGCAATGTCCCACCATTTTTGGGAAACCCCACACCCTAAACCCTATATGAAACCGATATAACTTCTACATAACCCCTGTTTAAGGGACCGCCCAACCCTAAACCTCAACACTAAATAGTAGTTTTCATTCTCTTTTCCATTATCCCTATAAAACCCTACATTATATCATATTATATCCCTATATTATAAGGGACCCCCCAAATGAAGCTGTACCTGAAGCTGTACCGAGGTAGCGGCTTCATCCACCGGTTGATGGTCCACGAAACGTTCCCGTGGCTGGTCTTGGTAAGACATCGGAGATGAAACTTCTGAGGGCATGTATAAATGTGTATATATATATGTATATATGTATATACATATCCGCCGACCCCTGGGGCGGCG